GTTGGTACATAATAATTTTGCAATAAATTGAATGACTCTTCCATAACAGAACAAATAATATGCTATATTTTTAATGATCTCTCAAAACGTTCTTCTCGTACATACCTTAACCTCTCGAGATATCCTTTATTATATATCTCTCTGTCGAGAGAGGGTAAAAGGAAATAGGAAAAACGATTCTGAATAACGAAGGGACTATCCCGGAGCACTAAACAGGCCGCGATCGAGTTGCTACGCTTGTCCAGCGCGGTGGAATCAAATCTAATCGCTTCCTGATTCAATTGTCTATTCAGGCATTATTACGCGAAGAGCCTCGTTCCACGTCCCTTCTCTTAACGTTTTTGACAAGAGTCGCGTTACGAGAGTCGCGGTTTCTTCCTCGTGGACATACACGTCACACTTACATGCTCGTCGGTCGTATGAATACAGCGCAGTTTCCTGTCTCGCCGATGCTTCGACAAGAATCAAGCCGTTTTAGCCCACGTGCATGTCGCTGACGAAGCGAAAACTATTGCTACAGTTTCAAGTATCGGCGTATCCGCGCGGCGTGGTACCATGAAAACGCCCATGAAGTACCTTGTAACGAGTGATGAATACAATAGGAATGCCCGAGCCCTAAACACGCGTTCGCGAACAATAATTGACGCGGAAGTACCGCGGAAAAAAATTTGCCGTTCAACCCGAAGATGCAGAACTCGCGTATGTCCCGCTAGTCACTTAATCCGTAAACATGGCGGCTCGAGCAAGCGTTACGCTTCGGCGCTGGTTTATCGGTAAATGGGGAAACAGTGGACGATGAGTAAGCAAGGAGCGCGAAAGGCAATGCAGGCATACATTTTCGATAAAGGTGCAATTCCTGTATACACTAAATTGCAATTCAAATTTCGTTAGGCGTAATTGTTCTCTTTTATCCTCGAGATTTAACTTTGTTGATACATCGATATAATGCTCTTAAATAACTGCAACAGCAGTAGGAATAGAAAAAAAAAGGAATTTAAAAATTAATATTATATTGTTGATATATTTTAATTATGTACTACGAGAGATTTGTTTTATACAAAAAATTACTTTGTATTATAAAAAAAGATTTTAATATTTTTTTCTTCAAAAAAAAGAGAAATATTCTAATGTCTTCTGCATCACTGCTAAAAATATTATATTTTTAAGACCAACAATTTTCCCACGGTACTTACACAAAATGTTGCATAGAGCTCGACCTCTCTGAACATGTTAATCATTTCATGTAGCGCCGCGAGTTCGGAGAGGGTTTTAGATTGGCGAGGAAAATCCGTAGATTGGTTAACGAGGCTCGGAGTACGAACTCGGCGAAATTGGCTCGATTAAAACCCACGGGGCAGCTGCCCCGAGGATTGTGCCCCGTCATGTGATTGGTCCCTTCTCCCAGGTCCTTTCTTCGATCTCCTCCATTTCGAGATGCATCGATACTCGGCCATCATTAATCATGCACTTTTGTACACACTCGTCGATGGGACTCCCTGCGAGGGACATCCGAGACGCAACAAAAATGAATCTCGGAGATCGAGACTGGGCCTGAACGGCGATCGAGGCCAGATGTTATTAACTTATGTAAAATAAACATAAACGAAAGCGCCGCGCACGCAGGGCACTCCGTTGTGGAAGCATCGGAACATTAATCGTGCGACTTTTAGGAGGATGGTAGCGATATTATGATTACTTCGTGCAAGAACTTTAATCGTAAACTGTAGTATTAGGAGTATATATGAGATAACAAAATGTGCATATTAACGAACAAAATTGATTTTGAAATGGGCTATCGCGATCCTTTTGCAGAAGTCTTTAATTGATTATGTCCTATACATACCTTTTGTATTTTTCCAAAGTGTCACCTGTTCTTTTTAATCAAGCGTACACCTGGTTATAGTTTGTCTTGCAAATATGGTTGATAAAAACATTAATACTTATCAAATAAATACGAACAGTTAGAGATGATATAAGTATAATTTCTTTCAATATTGTTTTTGGGATAAGTATCGAAGAATTAAGTATCAAAGCAAAATGAAAGATCCACCCGTATACTCGAGTCTATTTAATTTGCATTTAAAGTGAAACCCGCATGTATCCATTTTATCCACGTGTAAATAGATAATGAAAAAAGAAAGGTATGATGTGGTGTGTAGTGTAGTGTAGGTGTATATATTTTATTCTAAAAAACCTACTAGTTGAATTACAATAGCGTGAAATAAATTACTGTTTGATTATATCAATTATTGAACCTCTGCATTAAAAAGAGGGAAAAATTAAATTATTTTCTACGAACAATGCTGACTTTATGCAATGTCATATGTATTCTCGATTTCAGGACATGGATTTAATCGAGGTCCTCTGGAAGCAGGATGTGGATTTGGGATTCACGCTGGTGGAACCGGCTACCAAAAAGCCGTCAACATCGGAAAAAGAAGCAGCAGACGATGAACTCGAGAAGCTGAAAACCCTGGAAGCTATTAATGCCACGTATCAAAAGGTACGAGAAAGCTTTCACTTTCTTTCTGATTAGTATCTTGCGCTATTTAAATTCTACATTGTTCATTTTTTTTTTCAAATCGTATACGCTTACATGATTTCGAGTTGTTTCGAGTTCCCAATCGCAGCGCCTAACGAGCGATTGTCTCTCGAGAATGCGCCGCTTTCTGCTTTCACGCGTGTTAGAAGGAAGCGTTTGCTTCTTCGGACTCAATTTAAACGTTCGTTTCTCCATATGCCAACGGGCCCATTGATGTCTTCCTGTGTCCCCCGGACGATTATCAGAGATAGAAAGCTCCGGACGTGCACCTGTACGCTAAAGAATACCTCGCGATGTCGTTTTCCGTTCTGCCTCTCGGTAATCATCGACCAATTGGATTGCGCGAATAGGAAGCGACATTCTCTGTGACACGCTTCAGTAGAAAAAGACTTCCAGATTTGGCTTCCGGGCATATGTTGGAGAACATTTCAGGATTATTATCCATACTTTTTATTTTCTCTGTTTCTCAAGTGTCATCAAGAATCAATTTGTGATTTGATTTAAAAAAAAAAATATGCGCCGGCATCTCGATAAGAACATTAGCCAATCGATATGCTAAGAATACAAACATCAAAATACAATCAGCAAAATACTGTAGATAGATTTATATCGATTCGTAAAATAAACGATAAAGCATCAAACAAAAGTCACTAGCTCAATCGGCAGTGGAATTCGGCGCTCAGAGTGGTTATCTTCTTGTCATCTCTTCATCATTGCATTCCCGCAATGAAGTTCATCCAGGGAGCGCGCATTTCTTGCGAACTTAATTTTTTATTTCGAGAAATTTTATTATTCTCTCTCTTATTCCGCTTCCTTAGCGCGTGACTTCCGTCCTCGTAATCGCTCGTAGATGATCGATCTCAGTCGATCGGAAACGTTAAGCCGCCCCAAATACATAGCAGCCATGTTTGGTAGACTCAAAGGGAGATTAGGAACCATCCCACGCGGATATGATCTCGGCTGATATTTCAAGCTGTTCGTATCGACCATCGATCTTGTCTTTCTCAAGTTATATGCACATCTAGACTGAGATAGCTTTGTCTCACGGTATTATATCTGTCTCCCACGAAGAGGTTGCCTTCATGCAGCTACAGAGAGGCCGCGGTTTTTTCCGTAGCTCTTTCTTTTATCCGTAAGAGATCGATTGAATTTTATTATTAGCAACAAATATCACGAATTAGGCCATATCTGCTTCCATTGTTATCAAGAAACAATAATCTTTCTGCTTTATTGGAAAGTTGATCGAAACTGTATTATAAAAAGTATTTAGAATAATAATTAAATGTAATTGAGGAAGTGAGTGAATCGAGAATAGAGAGAGAATATTATTTCAATATACATACATAATGATAGTTATATAATTTAGTTTCTAGTAACTTTTTTAATGTAGACGCAATTTTTTTAAATTCTAAATTTGATGATTACCTATATGACAAACTAACTTATTTTAATTTCCCACTTGCGAATATAATCTAAAGTTGATGAAAAGCAAACTCTCCCGTTGACCGGTATCCCAGTCGATTCTTCTCGTAAGGTGAGTTTTTCGGTACTAACAATTTTTCTTCGCTCGGCGCGTTTCGGTGGATGGACACGAGGCGCGTTTAAGTATCCGGCAGATTCGAGCCTACGAGATCTCATCCATACGATGGTCACCGACAATGACGCTGCATCGACGTTCTGGGCGGGTAGCCCATCAGACTTCTCGACGTTCTTCGTCTCCCTTTCTGTCCTCTCTTCGTCCGCTTCTTCGCTTCTCTCTTCTTCTCACGACCTTCGGTAGTCGACGTTCATTCTTTCTTTATTTCTTTCCCGGCGTCGCTATGCGCCGCTTCGTCTCCATCGGCCTCTTCCTCCGCGAAGATCGCATTGTTCCAGCAAGTCCTATCTTTGTGAGGGCTCGCCGCCGCCTTCGAGGGCCCAATAACACGGGGAAGACCCTCGATCCCGATCGAAAGCCGACACATCGATCCGAGACGCGATCCGCGAACAGCTGAGAACAAAGAAGAGTCCAGTCTCTCGGCTTCTCCCTCTCTGTCTTGTATTGCGACAGATTATTGACAAGCATTGTTCCAACGTCTGGCCGCAGAATTGTTTTAACTAAGGACAGGCAATGGCTCAAAAATCGCATGGCGTTGTTAGGAGTGATAGTAAGAAAATTTGACGCGTATCTCTCATAAATTTTGAAAATTTGACTATTATTTTCTTTTGACTTTAAAATCGATATAATTTTGACGAGTCCAACTTTAAACGTTAATACGATCTGTGTTGTTCTTGGTCTTTCCCTTGACAGAGACATGCAAATACGAATAACTTAAATCGTATATTAAGACATAACTTTATAAACTTACAGCCATCAGCTTTAAGGTGAACAGTGCAATGAAAACACTTTATAAATGATCTTGCCACATAGAATATTTGTCAACATGTCGCGCTATTCGAGAACGACGTTGATGTCACTAGGAAGAAGCTAGGCAAGTGAATTGCTGTAAAGCACGTTGCATGTTTCTGTTGTACAATTATCTCAAGCCGCCATGACTGGCAGAAATTTTTAATCCAGAGCGAAGATTTAAATGATCGGTGCACGTCGCGGCGACAGGCTCCATTAGAGCGACTCCGTCTCGCTGCGAAACGGGAATGAATTATGGAGGCGTTTAGAGGGACGTCAATCTAGAAAGTAGGAAAGAGGAAGTTCGATCGAGCGATTCAGGATGGAAAGCATTCGTCGCGAAGACAACAAATTTTCCCGTGTTTAGCGAACGTGGTCACGGTGGTTCTCGTCGCGTACATATTCGTTTACTCTCTGTATACTTGGCTGGTATGTAAAAATATTATCGGTTATAATTAAAAGCTGCGTCGATTACGTTTAGAAAAATGATAACGAAAAAAGCAAAAACTAATTTATTCAAAAGGTAGCGTTATATGTCTGTTATATAAATTTTCAACTTGATGTCTTGGAGGATTGACATTCGTTCTTTCGATACGTCGAATGCATATCATTACATCGTGTACATTGTTATCCGTTTCATCAATCTTTGCGATGATTTATAATTATTGAGCGAAGACGCGCACGATTGCAACACAAACACGATACAAAGCCCGATCAATTCCCGCTTAGAGAAGCTTGCTTCGGCGAATTGTTTCAACGCGAATGCGTATCGTGAAAGATGAATCACTGCGAGGCACCTTATTCCCGATCGTAGGAGATCGCTTCCTCGAGCTATCGTGACTGACGTGAATTTTTAATTCATCAACGCGATTCAAATGAAGCGAATTCTAGGCGACGGGCTCCATTAGGGCGACTCCGTCTCGGTGCCAGGAGCGCATCGGGAGAAACACGATGAGAAGAGGATGGGTCGATCCATGCGATGTAGAAGGAGGATCTCTCTCGACGAAAACAACAGTTCCTCTCGCCCCGTCCTCCATCCTCACCGAACGTATTCATAAAACCATCAAAATGGCTAGCGTTCATTTGTTCCTGCGATGTATCCGTGAAGCCGGCGGGGTCTGGTAAAATGATAGATGTACGCAGCATCCCCCTTGGCACGAGGGGCGCCATCGACGAACCTATCGGAGCGATGGGGCCAAAAAGGATGAGAGAAAAAGAGAGAGAGGATGTGAGAGAGAAAGGGGAAAAGAGAGAAAGAACCATGTCGATCCATGAGGCGTTTTCTTGTGAAAGAGAAAGAGAGGCGGATAAAGAGAGAAAGGACTTCGCGAGCCAGAGAGATTGGAGCTCTCTGGAAGGGGTATTGCGAGGGATGTATTGATGGTCCTGGAAATTGAAAACGCGCCCGGCTAGCCGAAGTGGGTTTGGCTTCCTTCTCCTGTCCCGATTGTTTCCGTCGGCTAGAATTTCGGAACAAAATGGCGCTCGTACAGTGATATCAGTGTGATTCGGATTATCGCATTTTTAATATGAAACTTTCTCTAGAGTTATCTTTTGGCGACTTAATCTCCTTTATAAAATAATTTTCTCATTATTGATAGCATAATTTATAGAATCTTTTTTTATTACGTTTTTACATATATATCAATCAGCAAACAATATGATATTATATTTTACGAAACTGTTTAAATATTTGATTATTGAAAAAAATATTTTTATTAATATTATATTTTTCAATTCTTTTCTTAAGATGCTTTGATATTTAAGATAAAGTACCGAAGACGACGAATCACAAAATGTGAAACGTACGGCAAGTTACATACGATTCCAGGCAGCGTGACTCGCGTCATATCTCCGGCGACCGCGATACCATATTGAATTCATATTTACTCGCAGCGATCAAGGCTGATTTGAATTATGCTTTCTATCCGCGCTGGTCCTTGTAAGGCGGTTGATCGGGGCAGACAGTCGTAACAGTTCGTAAACCTTAATTGAGAGCTATGCCAGCCATGCAAGTCCGTATCGCTGACAGGACCTCCATTGTCGCATCGAGGGTTGCGTCGTCGAGCGGGACCGACGTTTCCTTCGAGAGTCGAAAGAGATGACGTTGTGGGCCCAAAATAAGGTAGGCGGCTATACGCGTACATGACTCTTCAAAAAATATTTTAGGACCATCTTTAGGATGCAGGAATTTTTCAGGCTTGCAAAGATTTCTTAAATTTTATTAAATATTGCACAGAATGTCCTTTAAATTTTATATATCGAAGAACATAAGAATATTAAGAGAAAATATTATATCTATACGACATTTCGAAACATGGTATTAACAACATTTACTATTAATTTTTTTAACATTAATCAGAAAAAAGAAAATTTTCAAATTTATGATATTTCTAATAATAGTGAAGAGTTCGTGTTTGCGCGTCTTCGCCCCCCCATCGTGTTCGAACGATTTTAGAACGCCAGGGTAGATTGAATTTCGTATTCATAACTCCGTAGAGTTCAGCGTAACGCACCACTCAACAACGATACATCATATCGTCGAATGAAAAAGTGACCGGAGCGTAGGCAGAGGGGTATGAAAGATTCGAGAGAGGACGACGAGAAAGAGCGGAGCGCAAAAGAAGGAGATAGAGAGAGAGAGAGAGAGAGAGAGAGAGAGAGAAAGAGGCAGATTTTGGCGGGGGGAGAGAGAGCCAGTGGTTGTGGATGGCCGCTATCAGAGACTTGCTATGATTAATGATCGAGTACAATACTGTTTTCATTAAACTCATTTCACTGCAGCTCGCATGTACCGCCACACTACAGGCGACCTATGGCCCAGGGCATACGCGCGCCCTTGGGCCCTTTTTCATGTCGGCAGTAAGGGTCGGCCGATCGCTTGATTATGACGTCTCTATAAGGCTCGACCTTGGCCGACTCGAATAGCTCTCGACTGAATTCGGCCATTGTTGCGTGAGCTTCATCTCAAATTCATCAGCCCCACGGATTCGTAATCATCTTTGTTGGAATTACATTTTGTAATCGAGCACTGGTACCGATCACGTCTCTCTTCGAGAGCCGCGCTCTTCAGAAGAATCGGGTCCTTCACCTCAGGCTTGACACCTCTTAGACGCGAGAACATCGTTAATTACGGTCAGCACTCATTACATCGTAGCGCTACTCTTTCAGTCTAATTTTCTAGCTAATTTACTGGCTCCTCGTTACAGTTTATTAATTGATCAATTATAATTAATCGCGCTAGATAAAGCTTACTTTCGACGACGAGTCGCGTCGTTTCAACATTCCTCGATGTCTCGCGAGACATCTTCACTCATACACATAACTTTATTTCTTGCGGTATTGGTTACAAAGAATGTTATACATCCGTGAAGAAGATTCTTTCGTTCGATCGGACCTGTCGTTATTTCTAGGATGATGCCAAGGAACCTGAGCCACAAGAAGATAATCCATGGGCAGGACTTTCTTACACCGTAGATCTTGAAACCGGTAAGTTTATTTGCGATATTTATCTGTTATACTTCTCGTGTTTACGTAATACAGTTGTAAAAAAAGAAAACGTTCGATCGGTTAAAAGGGATATTGATCGAGCTATTTTTATAATCGAAGTCATTCTACGAGCGTTTTTTTTTCTTTTTTTCTATTTTTTTTTTTTATTTCGTCAGCGTAGCGATCACAATTTTTATTTCGTTGTGCGTTTATCGAGGATGATCGAAATCCCGTTTTCGAATACCAATTAAAGAGTCAGTCGGTGTACACGCTGTGCATGTTTCACGTTGATCCGTGTGCCGGCAAGAACAGCTAAATACATCTGGCGCTCGCGGCTCTTTACGTCGGAAGCGTATCGAATTAACGCGGCAATTTGTAAGAGCCAATCCGAACATTCACTATAGTCCGAGTTTGCCGCACCTGGCCGCACCTTTGCGCAGCTAATTAGCATAAACACGCCGACCGAATGCACCTCGCTGGCCATTCCTTTGGAAATATACCATGTACCGTGAAATACCTCGTCGCCGTGCATTATGAAAAAACATATAATTGAAGGTGCATGGTCTTAAACGCATTAAGTATCAAGATTAAAAAGAGTTTAATTACATTGTAAAAATTGTATGCTAACATTAATAACGGACCTGATAATAAAAAAAATACGTAAAATTTTAATTAAATTGACTATTTTAATTTCTCATATTCGCTATTATTAAAACCGCCAGGATTTCCAAGATTTATGTTTTGTGCAATTGAATAATTGAATTCAATTGAAAGATCAGAGACCAGTCGCAATGTGAGATAAAAGAAAATTATCTTATAAATGGAAAGCGTACGTTTTCACGTACATTTATAATGATAGCGGCGTATTAATAGAGGCTGCATTTCGCTTCCTTTTTTTTTTCTCTCGTTTTTAATTGTTTCTTTGGCATTCCTACGCGCTTTCTGTCGCATAATAAAAAAGGGAAGTAAGTACGCTAGTGGCGAGAAATGTTATGCGACACGAACCGCATGTGGGAGAATGTCGAGGACACTCGCGCGAGTGTCGGGAGCGAGAGTAATGGATGGAGACTGTAACGAGCGCGCATGCAACCGCCGCGGCGTCTACCTGCATGCCAAGGTGCACTTTGTTCAGGTATATAACTACGGGTTTCCAAGCAGGCAGGTTCCGGAGGACTCGAGGCTGGGGAGTGGCTTCAGGAACGCCCTCGCTACCTACCTCCCTACCTCGCCTTTCCAACCCCACCAGCCTGTCCAGCCCTTCTGTCGGATTCGGTTCCCCTCTCCTGTCTTTCTCTCTCTCTCTC